CTCGGATTCAGTGGTGGGCACGTTGGTTGCCGGCGTACCGTGAAGGTTGCAGGATCGCGCCGGTGTTCCCACAGGGCTACTTTCTGTTCGTCCTTCTCCACTTTCCTCTTGTTTGCCTTGGGCGCTCTCCTGCCATCGAGCGTGTCGTCCTGCAGCGATGTTGCCAGTGGTTGGAGTCCCACCACCACAGAGACAAGAGTGACTAAACGTTGGAGCCCACGGGCATGTACGTACCACACACTCACACCCGAAGAGTTCGTGGGTGTCACAAGCCGTGAATTCATTGTATGAGAAGATGTCGCGAAGCTCCTCCTTCGTGAAGCGTGCCTGTGATAGGGAAGGGAGGGTCAGACCACCTGCAGCGCCGAGCAGCCAAATATTGGGTACGCGGAGGAACCTTGAGAGCATCGCCGGCCATGCGACTCGCGTCCATAATAGCGTTGGAGAGGCCCTCCTTGGCGACCTGTCGCTGGAATATTTTCTCTGGAGCCGAGTTAGAGTGCACACTCACACTCCAGGAAAGAAAAGATCAGGGGAAAGAGGGCATACCTTCGATCGTCCCAGTCCTAGACCGACAGACAAACGGGGAGTGTTAGGTATGACCCAATATTGGCGATCAGCATCAAAAGACAAGGGAAAGAATGTACGAGGCAAAGCGATAGATCCAGCACTTCTTCTTCTGGCCGTAACGCCAGACTCGGCCCATTGCCTGCGCATCGTTAGCTGGATTCCTGTGTGCAAAACCAGCGCGCGGGGGACAAGAAGTGAGCAAACACTTGCGGCACAGTCGCGACGAAGAAGTGCACGCACCAGTCCGGGTCGAACAACACGATGCGGTTCGATCCCACGAGGTTGAACCCCACGTTGCCCGCTTTGCTTGAAAGCAAGAAGACAACTAATACCATGGATGGCACGGAGACGAGGAATTAGGTCAGGGACACACATAGCCATAATGCGTAAACAGAAGGTACGCACAATAGTCGCTTGTCTGGTCGTTGAAGTGGTCGACGATGTTCTGGCGCTGGCCCGTGGGCGTGGAGCCATCCAAGCGCACAAAGCGGTAAGACCGCTTCTTGCACAAGGTCTGCATTACGTCCAGAGACTGCTTGAAGTTCGACACAATCACGACTCGGTCCTTCGTCGTGGTCCTGATTACGCCGAGAAGCTTGTCGAGCGCTTCCATCTTGCCTACGGCGGGTGAGGGAAAACAGGTAAATGCCGAGCCAGCAGCACACCGCCGGGAAGTGGAGTGCGGTACCCGACAGTTCGATATCGTGAGTGGTGGCGGTGAAGTCCTCGGGAAAGAGAGCGGCCACCTTCTTCATCTCCGGTTCTGCCTCGACCTGCAATCACAGGTGTGAGCCGACATAGTCATTTTCCAACCATTTGCAACTTGAGAAGGGTGATCACCTCGGGCTTAGGGAAGATGGCGCAGGGGTGATTGCAGAGCTTGCGCAAAGAGATAATGCAGGATAGAGCCGCCGCCTGCTGTCCGCCTGAAAGGACCGAACACACCATGGTGGAGCGGAGGTACTGCCTGTACAAGTCCGCCTGGAGTGATGAGAGCCGACAGAACACCACCTGCTCCACTGAGCAACATCAAGAGACAAGAGGGCGTCCCGTCAGACATCGTGGACCAGTGCTTTCATCAGCCAAAGAGGGAAGCGATACCTCGGGGAGGTAGGTATTGGCGCAGAAGGTCCTTTGTCCGGCGAATGATGAAGCTCTCCGTTCGCTTCATCAACTGCGAGGAGTAGCAGGATCAGACCACGCCGAATGGTTGGAAAGGGGCACGAGTGAGGACGAAGACAAGAATATGCGTACAGCAGTGGAACGTGATTGCGACTCAAGCTTCTGTTGAGGCGTGGCGTTGGGGTCCCTGCCCAGCACGATGGGTGTGGCGAACACATCTCTGAACTTCTTGAGGTCCATGAAGCCTGGATTGCAAAAATTGACCATCGTGAAGAACTCCTCCAAGTCGTTCTGAGGAGGAAATGCACAGGGGTGAGCTGGGTCGCAAGGAACCAGAAAGCAGGTACTACTGTGATGGCGTTTACTGTACCTGGATTGGAGTGCCCGTGATGATGACCCTGCGTCGAGTCTCGAGGCCATTGATGCACTTGGTGATGCGGGCGTCAGCGTTCTTCAGGCGATGACCCTGCGTGTAGCCAAGTTGTCCGTCTGTTAGTCGCCGCCTATCGCCTGGTCCCATTGGACGCACGCATACCTCGTCGCAGATGACCAAGTCGATTCCGGCCACGCCTTGCAGGAACGTAGCGTGGATCCGGAATTGCTCGTAGGAGATGATCAAAAGAGGCCGGTGCGGAGATGTCTTGAACTCGTCAAGGACCTTCAGTGTTTCCTCTTTCTTGGACGCCGCCTGGCCGATCACCAAAGCGTGGAGTCGCTCCAAGCCCAGCCATCGCTTCACTTCGTGATACCAATTCTACACGCGGGCAGCGATGGGTCAGTACAGTTGGCCACCACCACACGACAGAACTGCTGCGCAATACCTTTGTCAAAGATGTCGGAGTAATGACAAGAGCCTTCTTGGAGGCCGGTGTGCCGTTCGGACTATGAGAACAAAGGCCTGAGCATGGGAATGCAACAATGCGGCCAAAGGGGAGGTGATGGAGCACCCTTGCTTGAGAAGCGTCCATATAAGGGTGATGGCCTGCAGGGTCTTGCCCAGACCCATTTCATCGGCCAGGATGCAGCCTCGCCCCGGACCCTTTAGGCCCATGGTGCACTCATACAAGAACTTGACGCCCTCGCGCTGGTGGGGCTGCAAAATACTGTACACACGGAACAGAAAAACCGTTAGAGGCCTCGCACTCGATGAAAACCAGCAGCAAGGTGCACATACTTTCCAACGTAGGGATCGACCACCACAGCCGTGAGGGGTCCACTGCAGAGGCGTGTGAGTAGCCTGTAAGAGGGCATGAAGCATGGAAAGGACACACGCACTTTGGGTCGGAGGCGGCGGTAGGGTTGAACAGGACGACGGAGTCTTCGTTGATGGCGTGCCGCGGTTTGATCTCCTTGACGGTCGGCTTTCCGTCACCCACCGCGTGCGACTTGAACTTGGTGGGTATCTTTAGTTTGGGCGTCGGAGCCGGCGCCACTCCACCCTTGGCTGCGCAGGTCGGTTCGGACTGAGTACAAGCGATCAAAGGGGAGAGAACGGGGTACTCCTACCTTCGACCTCATCGAGGAAGACGGAGCCGGATTGATAGTTCTCTGGCGTGATCTCGTCGAGGATCTACACCCCGTTTGCAAAGTAAGCGAGGGGGAAGTGCACTACGTTCATAATGGCGGAATCGTTGGGGGGGGGGGTGGTGAACCTCAAGTTCCTTGCCCGAGAAGCAGAGCGAGTTACCGGGGCCGAGGTCGACTAGCTCCTGTTGGTAATTTGGTGAGCATGAAGGCTGCACTGGCTCAGCCATACAACACCGTGCACCTTGGCCGGGTAGGATGACGTCTTGCCGATCTCCTTCGCTTGCATGTCCTTGAGGATGCATATTTTACCCTCCTTTATCACCAGCACGCCTGCAACCGAGACCCACAGCGAAGACGTGACGAAGTGCACGCACAAGGTAGGGGTGGTGCAGGTGGCGTGCATACCGTCGTTGTAGGTCTTGTGCTTCTTGCGGCTGTACTTGCACCACATGACGCGGTAGTAGTGAGACTCGCCGGCTTGACTGTTGGTCTCCTCTTTCTTGACCGGGGCGACCTGCCGCGGGGTCGTAGGTCTGGTGGGCGTGGTACTGCTGGACGGGGTGGCAGTGGGACTCTTAAACGAACGTCGCACACCAAGGCCAGCTCGACGTCCAGCCGCGGGAGAAGCTGCCGACGTTTTGGCCTCTTCAGCCTCCTGCTTGACTTCCGTCATCTCGACAGATTCCGAATCGATTTCCACATTTTCGTTGGAGCCTTCATCATCATCATCCTCGATTTTTGGCCTTTTGGCGGATTCCTTCGTTTTCTTCTCGGCAACCGCAGGTGCGCGGTTCGAAACAAGGGGGCTCACGAACGGACGTTTGCCCCGCTGCGAAGGCGCTTGGCTTCTCCTCATCTTCGTCTACTTGCTCGACGCGGTCTTTTTCGCTCCTTGCACGCAACAATGGCTTTTTTGGTCGTTCGTGGAATATTTTCGTCGCCCTGCTGGCGCCACGTCGAACAGCTTTTTTCAAACACGCTACTCCCAAGACGGGAAGCCGTGCAAAGCGATACGGTGCATGGCGTCTGCCAGGCGTTCATAGTCAGAGAGCTGGTTGTACAAGTGGGCTGACAGGCGGACATAGAGTCGCCCTTGCACGCACTTGACGGGCACCTCGATCCTAGACGCATCAATAAGTGAGTTGTGAGTAGGGACGTTAGTTGCTAGATGGCAGAGGGAGGGGTACATGTAGCGATAGTGCAAGGTGTCCTGCAAGATCTTGGCATCTGTAGAAGAGGCCTCCGTCGGCTTGCCCGACGCCACCACACCATCAGGAACGCTGACGAGGGCCATTGTTCTGTGCATTTCCATCGGCGCGACCAACTTGTGAACGTGCGGTTGTGGTTTGTGAGTGTTCACACAGCAGCAAGTCGACCAAGATGAAGAGTGTTTCACGTACGCTGGCGTCCCATCGACTTCGAAGGAGGTCGACAGCCTGGTGCAGCAGGCCGATGTTGTAGCTCCACACTCGCTCCAGCCCGATGCGCTTCCAAAGCGCAAGAACCGCGGGGAAAGTAAGCACGGAGGAGTAGTCGTGGTAGCCCGACCAGATGAAGTTTGATGTAAAACCCTCTCCGAAGCCGTGCGAGATGACGAGCGGGTGGACGACGTGCGATGCGTCGTTCGTCTTCCTCTCTTCATGCCCCTCGTCGTCGGCCTCTTTCGCGATCTTCTCGACCACATCGAGTCGAAGCGCCGGTCCGTCGCTGTGTGTGTTGCGGACATACAGGAAAGCGCAGCCGGGCGTGCAGCAGAACCACTTGTGGCAATTGCCCACGTAGAAGTCGGCGCCCAGCGCCCTGAGATCGAGCGGAAGTGAGCCCAGGCCGTGGGCGCCATCGATGAAGACGGGCACTCCTCGGCTGTGGCACAGCTCGATTAGGTCTTCAATCGGCATCACGAGGCCTGAGTTGTGTGCGGTAAGTCAGTGAGTGACGGCCTACCAGATAGAACGGGTTGTCAGATTTTCGTACCTGTGTTGCTGGTGATGTGATCGAAGATGGCGAGGCGAGTGTTGGGTCGAAGAGTGTTGCTCACCACTTCGAGTATGTCGTTGGGTCCCGCGAGAGGGAAGGTGATCTCCCCTTCGCGCACATGCGCGCCCGCCTGCTCGCACTGGTAGGCCAGCATCTTCTTCACTGACCCATAGCCAATGTTGAGCATATACACCTGGCCGGACACAGCCGCTCCCATGTGAGCACACGTGGCAGGCACGACAAAGGCGTAGAAAGAGGTACTTCGTCGCCGGCGTTGAGGTGGATGGACTTGATCACCGTGTTGAGGCCGGTGGTGGCATTGGGCACGAAGGCGACTTCGTCCGGCGCAGCCTTGACTTCAGCCGCCAGTTGCCTCAGCGCCCAGACTATCTGCGCACAACGCGTCACGCGTGAGAAGTGCCGCTGTAGAGCTGTACCAGCACAAGCCGCATCCTGGGCTGTATATGTCTGTTGCTCACATGCACGCACCAACTGGAACAATTGTCGATCGACGAAGCGCAGCGGCTGCCGTGCGTTGTGCAGGCGCCACCTGTTGCCGACCTCCACCGCAATCCGCAAGGGAGCGCCTGCTCGCCCAAGAGGCACCCAATGAGAACGCTAATCGGAAAAAGGAGTGGGCGGGTAGGTCTGCACACCAAAGGCACCGTGGTTGATGAAGGTCCAGTCGCGGTCGAGAAGGAAGTGCGCATCTCTCATCTCGTGCCCAAATGAGGGCAAATCAGTGCCAAGCCCCGGCAGCAGATCATCCCAGCGGATGGGAAGCTCTGGCGGCGCGTAGCTCTCCTCGGGTTGTCGAATGAGGTCCTCCACATTGTCTGAGTGGAAGGACCCAAAGCCACGGTATCCGTGCCCCCCCTTCTTCTCCATCTGGCGCAATGAATAAATAAAATAACATATGAATAAATAAATTTCAATAAATGTAAATTGAAAGAGGAAACGACAAATTATACTAGCGGGTGGCGCGAACTTCCCTCAACCTTGCCACGATACTACTTATCGCAGAGACCATGCAGAACCTTACGCCAGGCACGCCGTTCTGGTCTTTATTGGTGCCTCATTGCCCACCTACTGACCGAAAAGCCGCGCAGAGACTAAGCACACCAGCATGGGCCGGTTGCTGAAGAGCAGCGGAAGAGCACAACCAGGCCAGGGCAACGAACTGCACGCCCTGGCGCGAAGCCAGCGCGGACCCTTCCCTCCGGTACCGATGTGCCCTTGGGATGGTGCTTTGTCTGACTACGTCACCAACAAGTATTGTCACGGACCGCGTGAACAGGCGAAACCGATGAGCGCCGTGAGTCAGTGGTTGGGGTTTGTTCCTGCAACAGTGAAGCCCTGGCAAGCGCTCATCGCTGATGGAGCCGATCCCAACGCGTACCTGCTCACCCCTTGCCCTCTGCACTCTCTCCCCTCACCCCAGCCCCTGCTGCAGGGTGGACGAATATGGCCGAACGCCACTGCACGAGGCTAGCTCTCGAGGCAATTGGCAAGCAGTGGACTACCTCCTTCAAGGTACAGCGACTGGGCTTGGCGGTGGCGAGCTCACACAGGTCGGCCTGCAGGAGCGTAACCTCCACTTCTTCAGCGGGACTCGTGGCGAAGATCAACCAGAGGGACCACAAGGGCCATACAGCGATCGACCTCGCCATCGCACTCGGCCACAAGGAGGTTGAGACCCTTCTCTCCGCCTATATCGCCCGAGCTGCGGCTCGCCAGAGGCCACGGGGATGCCCGCTCTTGCAGATGCCCGTCGAAGTGTTGGTGCTCATTCTATCGTGGCTCGAGCCTCGCGACCTGTGCACTGCGGCCCAAGCCTGCACGGTACCCAAACCCCTTTGCGTGCACGTGTGGCTCGCCAGATCTTTGCGTAACCCCCGGGCTTGCGTATGTGCAGGTGCTTGCACAACTCAGCCGAGAGGACACCTTGTGGCGGCGATTCTGTAGCACACACCAGCACAAGCCAGCCGACCAGAGTTGGAGGGACTGCTATCGTGAGTGGGTCGCCGCCAGCCTTCGCGTCTACGCAGGTAAGCAAACGAAAGCCCTCGCCGCCGCTGCAACTCCCAGAGCTTAGGTCGAAACGCCACTGTTCCACCGCTTGCCATCAGGCGCCAGGGCAAACTTCACCGAACGCGGGCAGATCATCAAGTGGGCATTGATTGGAGAACACAGTACCCCACGCCGCCCTACAATTGGCCGCATCCCACGAACCTGCCTAACGGGTGGTCCCGCACGCATACAGGGGTAGGCAAGAGGAGGCTCACCGAGCGCTATGTGCGGGGCATTTTTAGGGATTTTGCCCGTGGATCGATGGGCGCCGACTTCCTGGCGAAGGAGGTCGAGCGCGGCGGCAAGTGCCTGCACATCCAACTGTGGGACCGCCCAATGGCGTGTAGTACCCGACTGCTGTGTCGAGGAGCGGTCGGTCTGGTGTACGTCTATGACGTGAGGAGACGCGAGACGTTCGACGCTCTCGCCGCACGACACGAAGAGATCGTCTGGCACTTCCCTGATGGAGTGCCGCCCATCATCATCGGTGCGCTTACACACCCCGACTTCGTGGCACGTGCTGATTGTGGATCAATGTGTGCACTGATGGCGGCTGTGTTGCATGCGTGAAACGGTACAGCCGGAGCCAAGGCGGACAAGAGCACTACGGGCGAATCGTACGAGAGGCAAGTCAGCGAGGAGGAGGCCCAGGCGCTGGCCCGGCAACTGAACGCGGTGGCGTGGATGGAAACCAGCAGCAAAGACGACTTCCAAGGTACCAGGGCGCCACTCACCTACTTCGTGGCCAGCACTCGGCTGCGGCTGCGTGCGGTTCTTCCTTACTGACCTGCTCACCACCGGCGTGCAGTGAGCGAACTGTTCTCGCGACTGCTGCTTGAGTCGCTCGAGTGGGCGGACCCTTTCCGTGTGGGCACGCCACCCCTGGAGGAGGCGAGCCGGTGGGCCGTCCCGTCGGCATGCTTGTCTCTGGTCACGCGCAGGGAGGAGAGACCCCGGACTGACGGCGGGGGTGACGCACCCCGCCCGAGACACCTGACCGACAGCGGGCTTCTTACGTGTGTCCTTCAGTAAAGTGCGTGCGCCCCCTGTTCTTCTTCTTCTTCGTCTTCGTCTTCTTGAAGAGTTGTATTGGCAGCAACTGCGGGGCAAAGACTGGAGGGGATGAAGCTAGGGAGAGAGTGGGAAGGGCGATCAAGAGGCGTGGCTCTGGTTGCGGTACTTCTGGTAGAAACCGGCAACAAGCGGAGCGACGAAGAGAGCAATGTGGGCATACTTGACCAACGTCGCGCCGATGGAAACCTCACCCGTGGGCGTGATCTTAGTAGGCGTCTGCTGAGATTGCCACAACGAACGCCGCACGCAACACAACGCACATGAGCGTAGGGAGTTGAGCAAACAACTGTGTCGATGCATGTACCTGCACGGTTGGCTTCTCTTCCTCATCGTCGACGACCTTGGGCTGCGCAGGCGCAGCTCGGACGGGCTCAGCTGCGGGCTGGACGGGCTCGGTCTGGATAAGACGGAGTCAGCCGTGCTGGGTGGCGTGAAAGCGGGATTGGTGAAGGCACCTTCTTGGGAGCGACGACAATGCGAGGCGGCTCCACGACCTCCTCTTCCTCGCTCTCCTCCTCTTCAATGTGGTCGGGGGCGTCGCCGGCGTTGGCGCGTGGCTCGAACTCGACAGTGATAGACAGAATGCCGTAGTACTTGGTCGGCTGCTCATCCACCACAGTCTCCAGCACCATTCCCAGGTACAGGTCGCACTGATCACACGCACACACACACACACACAGTGCGCACGCATGATACACGACGTCTGAGCATGTGTTACACATCAATGCGCACAGAAAGGAAGGATGAAGGCGTGTACGTTGGCGCAGGAGGCGGTCTTGCGCAGGGTGCCGTAGGAGAAGTCCTCGTGGAACCTCAGGAACGAGCGGGCAATGGGCTTCCGGAAGGCCGGGTAGCGACCAGAGGCCTGGAACTTCTCCGTCGAGCTGAACAGGCGCGCTCCGCAGTGCGCGCAGCAGTAGAAGCCTTCGTCGAAGTGCTCCTTGTACTACAGATTGACGGAGCGTTGGGGGGGGGGGTGAGAATGGGCAGCAGCAAAGATGCACAGCGGATCCATTTAATAGTGCGATTAGCCACGCACCTTCTCGCCGCTTCGGCGGGCCATGAGATCGACCTCCATGACGGGGTAATCGCTGTTGGGAAGGGTCCTCTCGGTGGTCTGCGAGATCTGCACGGTGCCGCTCATCTTCAGTTGTGTTTGAATTTAGTGTTTGATCTTTTCTGCCACAGTTTCTTTTTGTACACGTGAGATTGGAGAAGCGAGATGAAGCAGAAGGACGTGGCCATCTTGTTTTTGGCCACGCTCGCGATTTTGCTCTCGGTGTACTACCAGGGCACCTACCACGGCCTCCGTCTCGTCTGGGTGCACCCCATCGATGCCTCCCTCTACGAGAACGGCCATTTCCCACTCCAACACGAACGACTGTACACCAAGCCACTCCCAATCTCCCACCACCAGTCGTGAATCCTGAGTGATCTCTCTTTTCCTCAGGCCGCCCCCACTCATCACTGACGTAGACGGAGACGGCCACAACGGTGCGCCACACCTTCTTCGCTGAGTGCTGGGCGCGTGCATTTTGTGTTGCAGCTGATCGATCCGCTGTGGATGGGCCACACACATGGCGGTGAGGAGAGCAGAGGTGATCGTGGTGACCTCAGACAGCCGGATCAAGATACTCGAGGGCACACCCTCCCAGAGCGCTGGCCTCGGGTCGCCGTCGCAGTGGCACAACCTTCCCGTCAAGGTGCACCTCCACCCCTGCATGCACGTCGCTGCAGTCGACTGCTGTGTGCGCACCCCCGAGCGGCCCTGGCAGAGTCTCATACAAGACTTGCTGTGATGTAGGAGGAGGCCTCGCTTCTGCCCTCGGTGGGCGTGGGTGCCGGCCGAAGGCCCGTGGCCCTGTCATCAGGCTATCTCTCCCCATATCAAGAGGGTACACCCTCATCTGGCTCTTCTCTAGCGCCGTGCGTGCGGTCTCACGCCCGTGCTTGGGTGCTGGGCGGGCTTCGATATGTAGGGCTGGTGCGCACGCAGGTGATTGTGGTCCTGACCAGTGGCTGGACAGTGCTCCTCTTCGACAACCACCTCAAGCTCCTCTGGGAGAGCACTGTCAGGTAGACCTCCCGCGCTCCACCTCTACCACTACCACCTATATCGACGCAGGCTCATGGTGCCCCATGGCTCTCTGTTTCTGCTGCAGGGAATCGCTGCCAGCGCATCTCTACCACAGCGAGGCGGCGCTGCTCGTGGTGCCCACCCCAGTGCGCATCGGCGACGCTGGTGTGGTAATCGCTGCCGCTCGCCTCTCCCGCAAAGCCAACCAACAGGCGGCCAAGTACGTACCCCAACCTCCCCGCACCCACGCACTCGCTGTGCCGGCCAGCGGCGGACTAGATTCAGCGGGCTTACGGCCCAACCTACGTTGGCACAGGCACGACCACGGGGCGGGCGGGCGGAAGGCCTCGTGGATGGCCAACGGCGAGGAGGACGAGGATGACCACGATTTGGGCGAGGAGCACTTCTCCTACTTTGCCTTTGACGGTCGCACGGTACCACTTCTTTCGACTGCGTGTCGTGCGTGTCGTGTGGCGTGTCGTGTGTCGTGTGTCGTGTGGTGTGTGTGTGTGTGTGTGTGTGGTGCTGTGGATGTCAGAGTTGCTTTGTTTGGCTTAAAATCTTCTCACGGACTTGGCGGGTGCCAACCGCAGGGCGCGCTGCGATGGAAGCACGAGGCTGGCGACTTCTACGACGAGTACGACACGGACGCCGGGGACCGCATCGGCGAAGAGCGCGCGATGCACCTGGGCGAGATGTCGTGGAACGACTTCCGATATTCGGTGATGCAGCAATTGCCCCACGCCTGGTTCCGTCGCGAGGTACCGCCCTCCTACCGGTCGATCAGCCCCCCCCCAATCTGCTCCCGCTTGTCGCTGGAGCTCACAGGTGCGCCCTATAGGATACTGGGCTCCGGGTGGCCCACTTCGAGCGCGGCGCCAAGCCCGCTGCTGACACGACCGCCCAGTCACAGCTTTCCGGTATGTTGGCCACCACCACTTCTCTGCCGCCGACACCGGCTCCCATGGCCTGGGCTGGCGCTGGCGCTGGCGCTGATGGTGACGGACTCGGCGCAGGTCTGCACGTAGACGTGCCGGGCCTGGTATGGGGCGGCCACGCACCGCACTCCGAGGACGATTTCGTGCACGAGCCCAACGTCATCGTGGCCCACTTTGCCGACGGCGTAGAGGTATCCCCGGCCACGCGGTCCACGTGACAGCCGACGCAACGAAGTAAAGAAACAAACTAAAATCAAATTAATTGTGTGATGCGCGCGCAGGTGATCCACCTGTACACGGGCCGGCCGGTGACGCGGATGGGCCTGGAGCGGTCGGTCGTGTGGGACGACATCAACGGCGACGGCGTCGTCGAAGCCGTCCGTCTCTCCACCCTCCCCACTGCTGGGCAAAGCAGCGAGGACCAGGTACCGTTCCCACTCCACGCACCACCGCACGCTAGGCGGAGACACTCACTGGCGCGTATGCGCGTATTGTGTTCTGGCTGGGCGCAGTGCTGGGCGCTGGGACAGTCGGGGGTGCCGCCGCAGGAGGACCTGTTCAATGTGTCCATCTGCGAGCCGAAGCCGCAGGGCTTCCTCGAGCTCCTCACATCCAACCCCAAGCGCAAGTCCCGCGGCGATACGTACACTTGCCCCCCCCCACCACACTTCCCAGTCATCACCACACGAGGAATGACGTGTTTACTGGTGCTCTGCAGTGGCGTGCTGCGCGCGACCAATCCGATCTCCATTGCGCGCCCGCGGACGTGGGCTGAACCCAACGGCCACAAGGACATGGTACGGGCCGTACCCAATGGATCCCCCATTGTTCACCGGGGCGAGCGCGGTGTGTGACGTGTGGTGGCTCCCCATCTTTCTGGGCGCACCTGCAGGTGTTCCTGGTGAGCAGTGGGCGGATGACGTCTTTCTCGCCGCGCGGGCAGCTCAACTGGATGCTGGACACGGCGGCCGAGTGGGCGTCGATGGACTCGTCGGGCCACACCGTCGGCCCGTGGCGCGGGAAGCTGTGGGCGCCGCGCCCGGCCCACGTCCCGGCCGGCCTGCCCATCACCCCCTCCCTCCTGCCCTTCTCTCCCTACGCCTACCACGGCCACCAGGAAGAGCTCGTCTTGGGCGTGGGCGGCAGCGCCATCGTCATCGTCTCTGGTAAGGCCTTCTGGATTTCTGGACCGCTGGGTCCTTTAAGGCTTTGCTGACGTGGTGGGGTGCAGGCGACGGTGCGTTGGTGGGTGAGGCGGTGCTGGAGGAGCCACCGATTGCACGGCCAGCGGTGGGCGACTTCAACAACGACGGGACGAACGACGTGATCATCGTGTCGGCCAACGCCTACTACGCCTACAGCCTGTCGACCCAGTCGGCGTCGCTGTTCCTGCCCACCCTCCTCTTCCTCCTGCTCCTGGCCATCGCCTCCCTCGCCGTCTACCAGCGGCGGCACGAAGCTGGCCCGGCCGCCGCGCCCGCCCAACGCCTCAGACGAGACAAGCGCGACATCTGATCCGATCTGGGAAACGAACGAAGAGACGAGTGGGTGGTGGAGGGGGCGTGCGTGCAGAGAGGAAACGAGCCGAAGGTAAATACAGGAAGAACGAGAACGGGAGAGGCAGAAAGAGGAGAGAGAGAAGAGGCTATGTGTCGGGTCCGTCCATGGACGCGCGTGGGCGCGGCTGCGCCAGTATGGGGACGGGAGGTGGCGTCCGCTCCACCATCGCCACGGGCATCATCCTCGGCTGCTTCTTGTCGCTGCCCTCCCACTGCGCACGCACAAACACATAGAGAGAGAGAGATGGTGACCATGGTCAGCTGCCCACTTCATGGCGCACACGCACTATTTATTTTTCCGCCCCTTCGTGTGCCGTGCTACGTGTGTGCGTACCTGGTAGTACTGGGCCAGGTATCGCTTGTACTCGGTGAGGGCGACGGGAACGTAGACCTCCCACCCCGCAGGGTAGCAGTCCTGGACCAGACCGCGCATCTGGATTGCCGGCCGTCTTGAGCTTGTCCTCCATCTTCTCGAACAGCAATCTGTGGACGACGAGAGGAGGGAAGAGGAGAGCAACGACGACCCGTGAGATGTGGGGCAGAAGCGGCCAAAGGGGAAGGGGAGGGAGGGGTACACGTCGACGGCCTGCTCGCGGTCGATGAGCGTCGAGGCGGCTTGGGGGCGGCGAGAGTTGGGCGAGTTGCCGTTGCTGCCGCTGCCGCCGCCGCCGTTGTTCCTGACGCTGGCGAGCTCCTTCACCCGCAGTCCCTGCCCTTGCAGGTGCGAGCGCTTGGTTCGCAGCATCTTGTACGCCAGCAGCTGATGGAAGGCCTGCACACCACACACACACACACACACACACACACACACACACACACACAAGACACCACCGTCACAGCCCGAGAAACGTGAGCGAGCAGTCGAGAAGAGAGAGAAACAGAGAGACGAGCGAGGAGAATGCGACGTACGTTGCGCACGTTGATGTCCCAGTGGAGGAAGAAGTAGTAAAAGTGTCGGTCGAGCACAAAGTCGCTGTAGAGCGCGATGCGGGCGTCGCCCATGAACACCTCCGAGTACTGGTACAGGAACATCAGCACCTTCAGCAGCAGCTGGTGGTGCTCGGTCGACAGAATCAGCTGCCACGGGCGCGACCGCGTGACGCGAGAGAGTTAACAACAACAACAACAACAACAACAACAACAACAACAACAACAACAACAACAGCTGATGGTGGTCATGCCCTGCTGGGCGACGGTTGGTGGGCGAAGAGAAGGGGGAGCAGCAGTACCTCGAGGGACTCGACGAGGAAGGCGTGGTCAAAGG